AAAAAGCCCTGACTCACCGGGCAAGTGAGGTCATCCCCGCTGCCCACAGCTGCCCCATGCTGCATGGGGGACTCTGTCACGAGCCTCTCAACCACCCCCCCGTTCCCCCAGCCTCTCTTTTCCTCCCCACCCCATGGCTGCCCCACCTGCCCCAGCTCTGGCCCTTTAAAAAAAAAACAAAAAAAAACAAAAAACCAAAAAACAAGCCAAACCTCCCCCCACCTGCCGCAGGACTCACCAGCTCCTGCAGTGGCCTTGGGGCTTTGGGGGGGCTCATGGAAGAGCCCCCCATGTGGCATGGGGCACCAGGGGAAAGTGGAAATTGCCTCCCCTGCCGGGCAGCACCCAGTGAGTCTGGGGTTTTGGCGGGGGTTTCCTTAAAGAGCCAGGGCCATGGCTGGGATGGGAGGGGGTCAGGGGGCTCATGCAGTACCCCCCACACAGCATGGGGCAATGGGAGGCAGCAGGGATCGCCCCCCACCCAGCAGCACGTGTTGAGTTGGGGCTTTTTTTTTTTCTTCAAAGTGCTGAGAGCTGGGGCGGGCAGGGGATGGGCCTGGGTGATCTGGACGAATTGAATCGGGACAGTGATTCGAATCACCGAATCGAATCGCTGTCCCCCGAATCGTCCAAATCCACATCCGTAGCAAATACTAGTTGCTTCCCACAGGCCTACTTGGTATCCTTGGGAAGAGTCTCTAGGATTCTTTCTAATCCTAACCCTACCGTACCAAGTTCCCCTATTAATATTTTGATCCAAACAATGCAAACTAACACATTTAAAGATCACTCTCAATAAACATTTTCATCATGTTTAAATAAATATTTTGTTTTTCATTTCCTCAAATTACCGAGTTCAAAATTCTTACATCAGAGTGTGACATTGCAAAAGATCACCCCAAATAAAATGGTATACATTTAAATTTACAATAATAATACACACCTGCTTTTCCTTGATATGTATTTCCATTTTGTATTTGTTTTCAAGCTTCTCTACTTTTTCCGCCTCTTCCTTTACTTCAGAAAAAAAATTAATTTAATATTTAAACTAAAATATACAGAAATCAATTTAATTTTTAAATAAATGTAGGTTTTATGACTTTTTCAATATCGATTCATTACTGAAGTTATGTTTGAAGTTATAAGGCATGACTTTTTTTAGTTTTCTTCACAAAATGACTCCAGTATTCCATCAAATGGGAAGTAAATGAGAACTCTATGTCAAGAACTAATGCAAAACTGGGCGCTTAACAGTGCAGATAAGCCATTAACAAACCAAATCTTAGGCAGGTATAAATCAGATAGAAATCACAATAAACAAACAGTACCACTATGGGTTGTGCTGAACCTATTCATTCTTTATCAGGTACTAAATTAGAAGTAAAAAGAACAAAACTGATAAGCTAATAAATGTTATTTTCAATCTAAAAGCGAAAGGCTACAAATATGCTCCCCATAAAAAAAAAAAAAAAAAAAAAAAAAAAAAAAAAAACAGGG